ACAGTTGTCTTACCTTGCTGTTGTTCTGATCAAAAGTTGTGTTCAATGGCATTAAAACGATAAAAACGCTGCTGAAGGTTAATCCATAGGTTAATCCAATGTGTCTGTGTCACTTTGAAATGATTACTGATAATCCATCATTCCATGTAAATAACGGACTTTTCATATCAGCTGCTATGATAGCTACTAGAGTGTATGACAGCTTCCGGTTTTGGCCAGAGAGATAGGTCAAATCCACCCAAATGACCCCAGAAGTGTTTTTTTGTGTTCTAAATCTCTCTAAAAAGGTCAAATGTCACTTGTTTCGCATCAATCTTGGTACAGGGTACTTATTATATGTTATAGTTTGGATTCTTAAAGCTTTTAGTCTCCGATCCCATCATTCAAGGGTGGTTTTCACTATAAGTAATGGGTTTGTTTTTGGACGGACACAATCATTTACATTTTTTTTTACTATGTTCAATCTGAATTTACTTTAAAATAAAAACATTCTATATTGATTCTGACTTTTCTACATCAAACTCAGAGGTGTATCATTGCTTTGAGAAAAAAGATTATAAATTTACCCCTTTTTAAAAGTTTAGCTTCTCATGCTCTGATTCGCTAAGCTGAACAGCCAATCGGAGTGATTTATTTTGCCGACACAACCGAAAAGACACGACGGTGCTGGACACACCAATCTGAGTAGGGCGACAGGACGCTCATCGACGGCCAAAATTGGCTTGGTGTGTCCGGGCCTTTACTGAGATATAACACGAGTTATATACATTTAAATTGATTATCTTTATTCACATACTGCTTTTAAAGGTTGAGTTGATTCAGTAGTTTCATCTGATTAATCAATGGGGTCACACTTTTCTATTCAACATACATTTATCTTATGAATAATTAAAAATTAGTCAAACAAAACATACCACAACCATATTTCAGTTTTTATTACGGCATGTGTAAATAAATCAATAAAAAATACGCTTTAAATGATTTTTCATTTCGGAACTGCTCATTTAGAAATAGTTGTAGTAGTAGATTGCTGATTACAGAATATATGGGTTTAAACGCACATGAAGCCTAAACCTGTTCCAATAACTCAATGCATATTTATGATTTTAAATATGTATTAATAATGAGTATGAAGCTATACTGACATTATAATGTGCATGAGACCACCAATTTTAGGGCTTTTATGGAACATTTCTCCAGAGGGTCCAATGGCAGGCTACTTTATTCCCATTGGCTGGACTTCATATCCTTGTAAAAATCCTCACTGAGCTCTATCTCTGCTGCAGCTCAGACTGAGGTCTGTTGTTCCTCACCAGACTCCTGCAGCAGAATCGTGGTCATGGTCTCCCAGTCTCTCAGCTCAGATTTCGCCACGCCCCACAGACTGTCCACCAGGTACGCCCCGTGCTCGTGGAACTGTCAGGGGGGAGAAGGAAGGGACATTGTTTTAGATTAACTCTAAAAACATACTTTTAATACCCAGCTGCCAAACACTTATCTGCTTATGAACAATTATAGAGATGCGAAGTCCCTCCCTTTCCGGGGGAGCTCCATGGGACCTTATTTCGGAAAAATTATGTATTGAAGTCAATGGCGAGAGACAAAGATTATCTTTTGATCCCGTTTGAATTGTGCCACGAATTACACATATGATGTTTGTAAAGTAAAAAATATATAAATGTGTCGTAAAACTGTGAAGTGACACATTTTTTGTGTGACACCGCTCAATGAACTACATCTCCCGTCTCGCACCACACACCAAGATGGCCGTCACGTTGGCACATTTCACTTCTTTCTTTCAGAATGAGGTGAAAAGTATTAAAAGAGGTGAAAATCACTCCAAGTCTGGGCATGTTGAGAGCTGTACATACACAAAAGGGGAGTTAGTCGGTTCCGTAGGAGCCAGCATGCGGGACCAGGATTCTGGGATTTGTAGTCTTTCTAGTTGCGTATTTTTCATAGTCTTATATTTCAACAGTTTTACGACAAGACTTTTGAGACGTGACATGCATTAACCGAGAGCTGCAGACTTGAGAATTGGCCACGAGTAACAAAAATTGGTCTTGCGAATCGACTCATTGCTGTGAGACTTGGCTTACTCCTGACATTTTTTTTTACCTGAGTGTTGTTTGGCTGTTTCTGCTGTAAAATGTCCTGCTAAGCCTGGTAGATAAATGTTGTCGTCCATAGGGAACTCAAAATAAAACATGGATTTGCCAGAGAATTAATCTTATTGCGTGACTTTAGAGCGTTTCCCAGGGGCAAGTTTTATAAGGGTTTTAAAGACCAAAAGTTGACCTAACTTAACCACGGTTTTGTGTTAAGGTGAACAAGGATTTGGATTACACGTTTCAATAGGATTTGAACAGTACTTTTAATCAGAAAACATGATTGGAAAGGTGGAAATGAGGACAGAAAGAGACACTACCTCACTCTGCATGTAGAAGGTGATGAGGATTTGAAGGAGGTCTGCATTTCCACTTGTACCATTCACCTGGTTCTCACTGTCAATCACACTTTTCAGCCTGACAGACAAACACACAAAAATATTCACATCAACCAAAAATAAAGAACTGGCATGGGAACATTGCTCACTGATTTAAGGCAGATGCTTAGTTACAAAGGGAAGTATACATATTTGACCAGCTCCATCGAAATCAGTCGCATTGACCCGGAGACACATTTTGAGTTGTATACACTGTTGGAAAGAGGAGATTCCTAGCTTTCTAATGATATCAGGATTGTTGTTGTACTCCAAATATTAAGCAAAATATGTCATTATATAATGACTGTCACCGAGTCATCATTTTGAGAAAAAGGCCTTCAAAGTTCCCTCTTCTCTGGAATCCATCGATCTGATTGATCCGATATTTTCGTTTGGATTACTGGTCTGGGGGAAGCTCGTGAGTGTGTGTGTGTGTGTGTGTGGTGTGTGTGTGTGAGTATACGTGTGTGTGTGTTTATGTAATTTTGCGTTTGTGTGTATTGTGTTTGTTTCCCGGGGAAAACCCTCACGAGAAACACCGGCTGTTGTTATGCCTGCTGTGACGTCAAGTTACACCGTTCTCCGCTTGTTATTATGTCGTTACAAGCTTCGAAGTTCAAAGTTGTATTTATCATCTGAATTTGCTGAAACAAGTTTAATATTCTGAAAGCCAAGACTTTGTTTATTTGACCCTGCCATGTTATCTATGATTACTATAGACTTACATTCATAATTTCAGCTGGAGGGAGGGGGGGCGGCGCTGCGGAAGAGCAGGGTGCGAGTGAGAGGTGCCTGTCATCTTCCCTTTTCAAGCTTCAAACATGTATTTATCGTGTGACTTTGGAAATAAAAGTTTCATATTCTGAAAGCCAATAATTTGTTTATTTAAAATCAAACAAAACACACGCAAATCCACATTTATTTTGAAATGAGCCGTTGGGACTTCCGACTGATTTCGATAGAGCGGGTCACATATGTGTTTTACACTGCTTGTAACATGTAGTATGTATCAAGGTCATGAAAGACATCTAATGTTTTGATTTGGCGGAATGTCTTTGATAAAAAAATCAATCAACAAATAGAAATTGAAACATATCTGTCCAATACAGGAAGAGCCACACCACTAGGGATGCAATTTCCTTGGCAAATTCCAGTTTCTATTCTTTTTCATTTGTATTATTTATGACCTGCCACTTCCAATTTTCTTTCTATGGCTATAAGACAGCATGACATATTTTCTACCACGGAGAAGCCTACAACAGACAGTCAACTATTTATTATCTATCTAGAGCAATGTATTTGTTTAAACCAAACCATAAATGAATGAGGAATATTGTAAAGGTGTGTGAGTTGCAAAATGTGTTGCTAGTCGTAAAAAGATGCTAAGTGAAAGACGCATCACTTAGGCAGAAAGTCCACACGTTAGCAACCCAGTTGTGTGTGTTGCTATGACAATAGGTGGTTACTGTCTGCATCGGTGTGTTTGTGTGCAATGTAAAACCATTATGTGGGACAGGACATACAGTGGGGAAAAAAAGTATTTAGTCAGCCACCAATTGTGCAAGTTCTCCCACTTAAAAAGATGAGAGAGGCCTGTAATTTTCATCCTAGGTATAGTTCAACTATGAGAGACAAAATGAGAAAAAAAAAATCCAGAAAATAACATTGTCTGATTTTTAAAGAATTTATTTGCAAATTATGGTCGAAAATAAGTATTTGGTCACCTACAAACAAACAAGATTTCTGGCTCTCACAGACCTGTAACTTCTTCTTTAGGAGCCTCCTCTGTCCTCCACTTGTTAACTGTATTAATGGCACCTGTTTGAACTCGTTATCAGTATAAAAGACACCTGTCCACAACCTCAAACAGTCAGACTCCAAACTCCACAGTCCACTATGGCCAAGACCAAAGGACACCAGAAACAAAATTGTAGACCTGCACCAGGCTGGGAAGACTGAATCTGCAATAGGTAAGCAGCTTGGTGTGAAGAAATCAACTGTGGGAGCAATTATTAGAAAATGGAAGACAAACAAGACCACTGATAATCTCCCTCGATCTGGGACTCCACGCAAGATCTCACCCCGTGGGGTCAAAATGATCACAAGAACGGTGAGCAAAAATCCCAGAACCACACGGGGGGACCTAGTCAATGACCTGCAGAGAGCTGGGACCAAAGTAACAAAGGCTACCATCAGTAACACACTACGCCGCCAGGGACTCAAATCCTGCAGTGCCAGACGTGTCCCCCTGCTTAAGCCAGTACATGTCCAGGTCCGTCTGAAGTTTGCTAGAGAGCATTTAGATGATCCAGAAGAGGATTGGGAGAATGTCATATGGTCAGATGAAACACTAGACGTGTTTGGAGGAGAAAGAATGCTGAGTTGCATCCAAAGAACACCATACCTACTGTGAAACATGGGGGTGGAAACATCATGCTTTGGGGCTGTTTTTCTGCAAAGGGACCAGGACGACTGATCCGTGTAAAGGAAAGAATGAATGGGGCCATGTATCGTGAGATTTTGAGTGATAACCTCCTTCCATCAGCAAGGGCATTGAAGATGAAACGTGGCTGGGTCTTTCAGCATGACAATGATCCCAAACACACCGCCCGGGCAACGAAGGAGTGGCTTCGTAAGAAGNATGTTTGCAAGACCAGTGGTTGTTGAGCTTAGCGTCCTCTCATTAGGGACTGCTTGCGCTGCATTCTGCAGCAAACAGTGTTTGATTTTCACCCAACAGACGAACGTCACGAAACGCTATTTTTCTAGGCATTAATAACGCAACATTTTCAAGTTGCTAGTCATATACCATACACAGGACCATTTTTTTTTTTTTTTTTAAACATCTATATAGTGGCCGGCGGGCAGTGGAAAGTCGTTAATGCTGCGTGGGGTGTCTAACATGTGCTTCCGGGCGCGGCCATTAGTATAATGTCAGCCCTCTTTACCACTGGCCTCTCGTCTGACAGGATGATGACTCTCTCCCTTTGGTCTAGCAGGCTTCTTATATCCGTTAATCGTGGATCAATAGTAGGCTGGACAGCACGTGATGCTGATGCCAACTGCGGTTTGTTTTGCTCATCGGCATTTAGGAGGAATCCCTATGTGCAAGTGAATGCAGCCAAGAGCGAGCCTTTAACCCCCCCCGCTCTGGCGGCGGAGCCATGGACTTTGATTGTCATTTGAACAGGCCGGCGGCAAACGAGAAGCATTGGTCTACAATGACAGAGAAGAGCTGTCAGTTTTGGCTGAAAAACCACTAAAGCTTGTTATTATTTATTTGGTGTAAGGTTTATTTCATTTCACACACGTGACAATCACGGCGCATCCATCTTGTGATATAATGTTCTTTCAACACACATCAACAAAAACAAAGAAGATGATGCGTTTCTTTCTTGTGTTGAAATAAACAAGACTATACTGTTGAATTTAACGGTATTACATTACATTTCATTTAGCTGGACGTTTTATCCAATGTGACTTACAAGTACCCAACCAGATTCTTTACACACAGTCCTGGAGTGGCCTAGCCAGTCTCCAGATCTCAACCCCATAGAAAATCTTTGGAGGGAGTTGAAAGTCCGTGTTGCCCAGCGACAGCCCCAAAACATCACTGCTCTAGAGGAGATCTGCATGGAGGAATGGGCCAAAATACCAGCAACAGTGTGTGAAAACCTTGTGAAGACTTACAGAAAACGTTTGACCTCTGTCATTGCCAACAAAGGGTATATAACAAAGTATTGAGATGAACTTTTGTTATTGACCAAATACTTATTTTCCACCATAATTTGCAAATAAAGTCTTTAAAAATCAGACAATGTGATTTTCTGGATTTCTTTTTCTCATTTATTCTCTCATAGTTGAGGTATACCTAGGATGAAAATTACAGGCCTCTCTCATCTTTTTAAGTGGGAGAACTTGCACAATTGGTGGCTGACTAAATACTTTTTGGCCCCACTGTATGTGGGAATTTAAGACAATGGTAACAATTGATGGCAGATTAGCTGACAATCAACCGGTTTGAATCAAGCTCCCAGGAAGTGCGCCAGACTCTGAGGAAAATATTCGTTGTGTCCAAACGGCGGTACTGCAACATCTGTATCAGTCCGTGATGTCCCTGGGCCCGGAAATACTCTTTCCCATTGACTAACATTGACTCTTACAGTCAGGCATGATGGGTAATCTGTGACGTTTCGCTCTCAAAGGTTGGGCCATTTTGTCCTCGAGCGCCAATGAGCAGCTCTCATAGGAAAGAACGAGACCCCGCCTCTGACGCTGTATCCAGTTCTTATTATACATCCATGGTTTAAATCAGTATTATCTTTATGCTTCTCTACTCTACTAATGTTCTAAAACAGTCTGACAGTTTGCAGAAAGGAAACATGAAAATGTACTTGTTGAAGAGGAAGACGCCAGCGGCAGACGCAAGGCCTCGGTTTGAAGCGTAGACCAGCGGATAGATGTGTCCGCACTCCTCCTCTCTCAGACCACCCTCTGTGCTCCTAAATATGTGCACATAAAACTCTTACTGGACAATGTAAAACACAGGGTTAAAAACCGACATTGTTTTGCCTGTTGTCTAAAAGTGTTTCAGTTTTATTTCAACAGGTATTTAACACAGTACACTATGCTATTTATATCACCTTTATTAACAATCAGTAGGATTTTTCCATACATTTCACATTGTCTTCTCTTTCAGTTATCTACATCTAAGTTGTGAGTTGAGTCAGTGGTGGGAGATGTTGGCCAATCACACTGTGATTCATCTGCATGTACGACAAAGAGTGTTATCACACCAATGAGTAACCGTTTCACTTCTATTGTCGAGAAACTGGACCTGGAAGGAGGACAACCAGGATCTATTTGCAGTATTTGGGATTTTCATCTCACATTTCTAAGTGAGAATTTGGTATAAACAGATTCTTATTCAGGCACTTTCATGGATCAAAGACCAACTGAATCAAATAACTGGATAACATTATAACTAAAAATATTCATATCATTTGTTTTAATAAAGCACAAAACAATCCAAGCAAAAATAGGGAAATAGTAAAAAACTTGATATATTTAGTTTGTTTTGATCTATGCCAGTTAAGTTCATGCATTTAACATGCATTTAAACAGTCCTTCGGCGCCACTCGACGACATAGAAACATTGTTTCTTTTAACTTTCATGCCAATAAAGCCCCTTTGAATTGAAAGAGAGAGTGTGTGCTCACTGTTGGATCAGCAGCAACAGATTGATCACTTCCACTGCCACATCCAGGTCTTTGTCCAGCACCATGCCGAGCATCCTCTCCTTAAACAGACAGAAGAACAGCCATGCCAGCAGACACATGGGTGTCGAAATGACACACATTAAAGTACCCACAGACATGCATGCACGCATACAAACCAACTGATTAGGCACTAAGCCATGGCATGAAAACCATTTATCTGCAGCAGCACATGTGGCTTAGGAGGGTTTGTATGTGTTTGAACAAAGCTTATTAACCAATAGTAATTGGCAGCAATTAATGCACCCAGACACACACCCAGAGACAAAGGATAAGACCGACACAACAAACCAGAACGGTGAATAATANCGACGACTATACTCGCGGCGACGTTCACAACCGCGGTCGGTTATGACGTGTAAATTTTCTCTTTTCAGGGTAGTAAAAAAAAGAAACAGAATTCTAGTTATTATTCACGCCTGGGACAAAAGTACAAAAGTACAACCAGAAAAATAACACCCTAACACACCAAAATTACGCCCAAGGTAACTTCTGGAAAATGTTCTCGGAGAAAGTCACGACAACCCCTACACTGTGCGCTTACATATCACAAAATACACTTTTTATGAAAAAGTTACTTATCACCGTTCCCATTTTTTTCTAACACTTCGCAGGAATTAGTCCCCAAAAGTTCTCAACCCATCCACCGGAGGGTCCTCTGTATTTCTTGTCGGTACGCGGGGAGGAGAGTTATAATACGAAATAAAATAATAATAACACCGCCAGACCACAACACACACCCCGTGTTTCCTTACTTATACAATTTACCGACAAACAGCCCGCGCAGTAAAAAACTTTGTTTCTATAGGTAACTACACATCTGAGTCGACAAATATGACATGTGGGGTACCTCAAGGCTCCATCTTGGGCCTCTTCTCTTTAACGTCTACATGCTACCACTGGCTCAGATAATGAAAAACAACAAAATAAGTTACCATAGCTATGCGGATGACACACAAATTTACGTAACAATTTCACCAGGAGACTATGCTCCAATTCAAACTCTGAGTAAGTGCATTGAACAAATCAATGACTGGATGTGTCAGAACTTTCTCCAATTAAACAAAGATAAAACTGAGGTAATGGTTTTTGGAGCCAAGGCAGAACGTTTAAAAGTTAGCGGTGAGCTTCAGTCTGCAATGCTCAAAACAACAGATAAAGCCAGAAATCTAGGTGTGGTCATGGACTCTGACCTGAGTTTCAACAGTCACATTAAAACAGTTACTAAATCAGCCTACTATCACCTAAAGAATATATCTAGGATTAAAAGACTGATGTCACAGCAGGATTTGGAAAAACTTGTCCATGCTTTTATCTTCAGTAGACTTGACTACTGTAATGGTGTCTTCACAGGTCTCATTAAAAAATCTATTAGAAAGCTGCAGCTAATTCAGAACGCCGCTGCTCGAGTCCTCACTAACACTAAGAAAGTGGATTACATCACTCCTGTTCTGAAGTCTTTACACTGGCTTCCTGTGTGTCAAAGAATATATTTAAAAATACTGCTGCTGGTTTATAAAGCTTTGAATGGTTTAGGCCCAAAATACATTTCTGACCTCATGCTAAATTATAAACCATCCAGATCTCTCAGGTCTTCAGGGACTGGTCAGCTTTCTGTCCCCAGAGTCAGAACTAAACATGGAGAAGCAGCGTTCAGTTGTTATGCTCCAAATATCTAGAACAAACTCCCAGAAACCTGCAGGTCCGCTGCAACTCTTACTACTTTTAAATCCAGGCTGAAGACTTTTCTTTTTGTCGCTACTTTTAATTGAACTATTCACATCTTAAACTGCACTGTAACTTTTATCCATATATTTTTTCTTTTGATGTTTATTTTATTATCTTTTCTTTTTAATGACTGATTTTAAATGCCCTTTTCTTAATGTCTTTCATTTTTTGTAAAGCACTTTGAATTGCCTTGTGTTGAAAGGTGCTATATAAATAAACTTGCCTTGCCTTGCCTTGTTCATCACTTCAGCCATCTAGGCAGGTTTTTTTTAATGGTTTTTGTAGTTTTATCTTTCCTGTAGGGTGTTACAAAGATTTTGGTGCATATAAATGGTCTCAGAAGCTACTATCACAAGGTTTCCTCCAGAGGGAGTCCCTCTGCCACACACCCCCCTCTGCCTGAAACGCCTCCATTGGACTCGTTTGTTTTCTTTTGTAACATATTGACATCACTATGTAACACTGCTTCAATCGGATAGCGTTCCAACACATTGTACTTGATCGGCTAAGAGGGAAATCATTAAGCAGTTGACCAATCAAAACAGAGCCGTCCAGCTAACCAATCAGTGTGCCTTGGCAGTCTGACGGAGGGTGAAAAGAGGTGCTGCAGCACAGGCAGTATGAGAAAAATAAAGAGCTTTTTGAACATTAAAGCATGGAGACATGTCCCAGTAGAGACGTGAAATACTAATATGAACCTGAACATTTGCATAATAGGGCTCCTTCAAGAGAGTCTTAACAAGTAAATATTCTGTGTTATACGGATGATTTGATCAAAATCACATTAAAGTAGAGTTGCCGTCACTGATTAAATTCACAAAAAGCTAAAGCTTCACAACAAATTTGTCCATCTTTCCCGTAAAAGCTATTGTTCAATGTGTCACAACATCAAATGAGATCAACCAAAAAAGTAAGGCCTGCCAACCACTCAGGATTGCTGAGTTCAACAAGGCTCTGTTTTTCTTTCTTTTTTTTTCATCTTCACTACTTGGTAAATTTTTACAACTTAGCCAGAGTACATCTGAGTGGTAGATTCGTCCCTGTATTGCACATCCATTTCTTAAAGGAAGGTCTGCAACTTTCTGTGATTGCTTGCTCTTGTTTGGATGAGATCATCACATCACCCAGCTGGTTGCTCTAGTGCAGGGTGCTTCCTGAGGCAATGCAATTTTACGATCCCTCCTCCACACTCCCAAACTTTACTGCACACCAGGGAAGCTATTACTTCATGGAATGGCTGGATTGCCATCAGTTATAACTCCACACTCACTGTAAAAAAGTTTGGCTTTTTGGCACCATGTCCAGATCCCTTGCATTCACTTTCTATGACTGGCAAAGTTTGTTAAAGTGTGCAAGTAATGTACACACAGTGATACACCTAGTATTGCATTGACTTATCTGTATTGTATCATAGTTAGGTTAAGAAACACATCAATATTTGGGTAAATTATGCTCTTTGTTGGCAGAAATCCCTGAAGGCTAATTTCCTCCATTTGCAGTGTAGGTACTGATCTTAGGGAACATATCCACATTCAAAAATGGTTGGAACATGAAATTCATGGACCTGTATGATAGCTTTTTGAGCATTTTAAATGTGAACTTATCGTATATGGATGATATACTTTTTTTGTGGCATTACAACTTTTTTAAACAGTGGACAGTGTAAAAAAGGGAGAGAGAGAAAGAGGAGTATGACAAGCTACAAAAGTCCCAAAGCCAGGATCGAACACAGGGTTCAGGAGGTGGATACTGATTTTAGGGAACATAGGGCTTAGGGAACATAGGCACGCTACCTTATGTACATTTACTGGAAATTAACAAGTATGCAGTGGATTCTTTAGACATCATGAGCCTCAGTTTAAAGAATTGTTAAGACATAACAATTTATGTCAACAATCAATTGGACAACAACAAAAATGCAGAGGCAGAGTGGGAGAAGTACTCAGGTATTGTACTTAAGTAAAGTACCAAAATGTATGAATATTGTTACAAGTAAAAGTAATGCAATCAAAATATACTTAAAGTACCAGTAAAAGCATTAATTGTGCTGAATGATATATACTGTATCACATGTTTTCATGTTTTGATTATAATTATTGAACATTGAAGTGTTCTCAAAGCTGGTAAAGGTGCAGCTAGTTTGAATGACTTTGTATACTGCAGGGTAGCTTGTGAATTTACTCCAGGTGGAACTGAAGTCTGATTTAAGACTTGATTATATGTTACATCATTCATCCACATCTGTAAAGTAAAAGTAATTTATGGTAAAAGGAGTAAAGTACACAATTTACCTCTGACTTGTAGTGAAGTAGAAGTACAAAGTAGCAACAAAATTGAAATACTGAATTAGAGCACAAGTCTCTCAAATGTGTAATTAAGTACAGTACTTGAGTATATTTCATTAGTTTAATTAGTGCAGTGGGTTCATTGAAACCGTGAGTCCCAGTCCATATCCAAGAATTGAGGCACAATTTTCTATATCAAAATGAACTTTTGAAATAGCTTTATGAACATTTCACATTTTAAGTTTCATTTTACAGAGGTTGATGTATAAATAGGAGTCACGCCAAACATTTGGCTACCAAGCCACCCCAGCTGTTGTATTTAACAGCATTGTAACTCATTGTCAGAGTCTATAAAGTCCTTGGGGACACACATGGTGGGAATGGACAGATTCTACTTAACAGCTAGCATCACATGCTGTAAACAGTTTTCTCTGGTTGACACGAAGAACCGGGTCGTGGAAATGTGTGTGACTGTGTGTGCGGTCATGTGTGCATTAGTTGGTCCATGTCTGCTGATATTGACAGTATACTGACAGGATGTTGATTAACTAGCCTGCGGGGGGGTGAGGCCTGTCTGGGCGTCAGGTAGGAGTCACAGCAGCGAGGAGTGATGAGACAATCACACAGAGAGGGAGAGAGAGAGGAGGGCATGTGTCAGGGCCAGAGGACGATGACAATAAGCTGTCCGTCTCAGCTGACGCCGACACAGCTATCAGGATCAGATTAGCTACAGCACTGCTCCAAAATGTCACACACAAACACAAGCACACATGCACAGGACATACATGGACTTCAGATGCAGTCTCAGTGTCTCCTGCCATATTTGTATACGCTGGCCTACTAGATATACCACTAATATAGTGAATACTGATTTATGGCACTTCTATGCACTTCCTCCAAGTCTTTTTGGAGAGTGTGGGAGAGAAACTCCCGCCAGAGTGAACTTTGGCATTTTAGCATTTGCAGACCATTTACATGCACAAAAACCTATATAACACACTACAGGAAAGGGAAACCCCCAAAAGCATAAAAGGGCCCCTTTAACCTCT